CAGGGTTTAGGGCTGTTGTACAGAGGGTCGCTATGAGTTGCAAACGACTCGATGGCACATAACAACAACAACCACAACAACTGAGCATCAGCCTAGTGCTTTTGGGGATAGTAACCCTGTGTGTTTCTTCTTTTTTTTATGCTTCTTGATCATTCAGCCTTGCTCATCTAATCTTTCAGTACTGAAACTTAATATTTACGTATTTCCCCTGTTATCTGCTGAGAAATATTGTTTTCTTCCTTTTTGAAGTGTGGTAGTTTTTTGGGTTGTTGTTGTTTGTTTGTTTGTTTTTTAACTCCAGGTCTTTGCATATTTTGCAATACTTTCCTTGAAGTACTCAGTAAAGAAGGTTAACCCTTCAATACGATATAATTTAATATGTATTATTATAGAACACACCACACATTAAGAAAACAAATACTCTCACAAATAAGCCAGTTAGCAACCTCACAATAAATGAAGAATGGATATAAATTGTCACTGTTTTCATTTTATTTTCATCAATACCCATGAAAGAAGAAATCAAGAAATCGAAAGACTGCACTGGGCAAATCTGCTTTCAAAGGACCTACTTAATGTATGAAAGAGAAACGCTGTGTCTTTGGAGACTGAGATAAACCTGAACTAGGGCAGGGTATTTTCATTTGCTTCACATGCACATAAACTTGAGCAGTGAGTAAGGAGAACGACACAGGAATTGACGCCTTTATCTGTGTGTTGGTGAGGAGGACAGGATATCCCACCGACTGAAGAAAGAACAAACTAACCTGTCTTCGAGGAAATGCAAGCAGGGTGGCGACTCTCATCTCACATACTTTCGGCATGTTGTGGGAAGGGGTCAGTGCTTGAGAAAGGCATGCTGCTGAGAAAGGTGGGAGGCCAGGGAAAGAGGAGGACCCTCAACAAGGTGAAGTGACACAGTGTCTGCAACAATGATCCCGCCTCGCAGAGGCTGTGAGGATGGTGAGGACCAGGCACGCAGCACCTGGAACTGACTTGGTGGCATCTAACAACAGCACTCAGTGTGGTCACCTTCGAGATGGGCACGCTCCTCGTGCTCGCTTCCGTCAGCAGAGGTACCTGAAGAGTTCCTGAGCAGCTCTGGGGACGATCCCCGAGTCCCTGTGGGCCTCTGAGGGCATGGCTGTGTGCTCCTCCGCCCGTGGCCCCAGCATGGTGTAGCTCTTCCCGCTGCCCGTCTGTCCATACGCCATGATGCAGACGTTGTACCTACAATTCAAGACAAGGTTTGCTGTCGCTCCGCAGCCTGCCTTCAGTGCAGAAGTGCAGGCTGGGAGTCACATCCACGCAGAAGGAGAATTCCAGTCAACCTCTCCTCCTGCTTTCTAACCCCACTCCTCAGAGATCAGGCTCATTAACCTCCTCAGGTCTAGGCTGGCTCTCTGGTGGTGCACTGGGTAAGCACTTGCTTTGTTGGGAATGGAAAAGCAGATGGTTCTAAGTCACCAGTCGTTCTGAGGGTGGAGGACAGATGTAATATCGTGACAGCCCAGGAGAGGCTCTGGGACCACTCTGTTCTGTCCTCCGGGGTTGGAACCAACTTGCTGACAGGGGCCAGGATTCTTCCCACTTCACCTTTGGAGTTTTGGTCTCACAGTCAATGATACAGTGGTTGGTGGCTAAGGAGCCTGTGTGACAGTGGCGCTGCTTCACCAGCTCTTCTCTGCTCCCATCTTTACAGAAGCAGGTTGATACATCTAACTCCTAGGGAGCAGTGAGTATGATCAAACCCTCCCTGGCTGTAGCCTCCAACTGCGAGGCAACTGTGTCACACAGCCATGCTCACAGACAGACACAACCACACACACACAACCATGTTCACACACAGCCACACAGACAGCCACGCAGACACAGCCACACACACACAACCACGTTCACACACAGCCACTACACACACAGCCACACATAGCCATGCACACACACAGAGCCACGCTCACACACAGCCATGTACACACACACAGACACACATACAGCCAAGCTCACACACAGCCATACACACAAACACAGAGCCACGTTCACACACAACCACACACACAGCCACACACACACAGAGTCACACTCACACACAGCCACACACACAGCCACACACACACAACCACGCACACAGCAAACCCTTCACCAAGGCCTCTCCCTGGGGATTGCCATTCAGCCACTCGGGTCCACACCAACACGACCTCTGATTTCTCCTCTCTCCTGGCACAGGGTTTACATGGGGTCTCTGTCTTTGAACTCCCTCTTGAGTGCAAATCCATTCATTCTCATTTTTCAACATTTTGTTCAGATCAAATAAGCCCGACACAAAAAACAGACTGTTCCCTACTGTGCCTGAGAATAATGTGGGACACCATCAAGAGGAATAACGCACACAAAATTAGAGTCCTGGAACAGGAAGACGCAGGTAAAAGCACCAAGAGAGTTGTGGAAGAGTTACTACGAGAAAACTTTACAGGCATAATGAAGAATGAGAGAAGGTATATTCAAGAGGCTGAGCAAACACCATATAGAATAGACCCCGAAAGAAAAACATCAAGGCATATCACAGTCAAATTTGCCAGAACCAAAGATAAGGAGAGAATTCTGAAAGCAGCAAGGGAGAAATGAAGAGAGGGAGAGTAAATAAGATTAAAAGCCGATTTCTCAGCAGAAACCATGCAAGCAAGAAGACAGTGGAGTGACATATATCAAACACTCACAAAATACAACTGTCAACCAAAAATACTGTACCCAGTAAAACTGTCCATCAAATAGAAGAGATCAAGGTATCCTCAGAAAAGCTAAGGGAGTATGTAAAAACAAGGCCAGCATTACAGGAAACACTGAGAGAAATCTTTATTGCAGAGATGCCACAGAAAGCAAGATGGACCAAAGTAACCAGACACAACACCAAAAAGAACTCAACAAAATGATAGCAATAAATCCATGCCTCCCAATAATTACACTGGATGTGAGTGGCATAAATGTGCCATTGAAGAGAAAAAGAGTAGCAGATTGGGTAAAAAAAAATAAAACTTATCAATATGCTGTCTACAAGAGACATATCTAGAAAGTGAAGATAAAGAAAGACTAAAAATAAAAGGGTGGGCAAAATGACACGGAGAAAATAGCAACTGGGAAAAAAGCAAGGGTAGCGATATTAATCTCTAATAAAATAGATTTCAATGCAAAAACCATCACAAAGAACAAGGAAGGTCACTATATAATGCTTACAAGGAAGATCACTCAATAATGCTTAAAGGGACAATACAACAAGATGACATAACCACAGAACTGAAAAAACAGACACCACCACAATAGTGGTAAGTGACTTCAATACACCACTCTCAAGAAAAGATAGAACCAAGATGACATAACCACAGAACTGAAAAAACAGACACCACCACAATAGTGGTAAGTGACTTCAATACACCACTCTCAAGAAAAGATAGAACTACCAGAAAGAAATCCAACAAAGGTGCTGAAAATGTAAACCACCCAATACACCAACTTGATCTCATAGATATATACATGCTAATGCACCCCAAGAAAGTGCAGTATACCTTCTTCTCCAAAGTACATGGGACATTCTCCAGAATAGATCAAATGTTAGGTCACAGGCAAGCATCAATAAATTCAAAAGCATAGAAATACTACAAAGTCCTCAGGCCACAATGCTACAAAATTAGAAATTAATAAAAGGGGGGGAACCCCATACATTTAGAAGCTGAACAACACCTTGCTTGAACATGAGTGGATACTAGAAGAAATAAAAAATGAAATTAAAAAGTTTCTTGAAACACATGACAATGAAAACACAACTTACCAAAACCTCTGGGAAACAGCCAAAGCAGTAATTAGAGGGCAAATTATAGCAATAAGCAAACACATCAAAAATCAAGAAAAAATGGTATTTGACTCTCTAATCCAACATCTCCAACTACTAGAAAAAGAACAGCTAGAAAATCTGACACCCTCTAAGAAATCCAAAATTATAAAAATTAGGGCAGAAACAAAAACAGAAAAATAATTGAAACCATTAACAAAACCAGTAGTTGGTTCTTCATAAAGGTCAATAAAATAGACAAACCACTAGCAAAACTAACAAAGGAAAAGAGAGAAAAAATTCAAATAATGTGAATAAGTGATGAAAGGGGCAATGTCACAACAGAACTAACCGAAATAAAAAGGTTCACAACAGAATATTATGGAAAAACTATGTACAGAGGTAACTCGCGGCTGCTGTGATGCTGAGCACTGTGACACTGATGTGCCAGATGTGATAATGGTGACCCATGGTGGACAGTGTTTGGTGGAGCTGCCCAATTAAAGCAAGATTGAAAGGCAAAATAACTTGCCTCCAAAAACTCTATGAACAGTGCTCAGGTCTTTCATTGATAGGGTCGCTATGAGTTGTCTACAACTCAACAGCACTTAACAACAACAACAAAATACTCAAACAAATATGAAACCTAGAGAAAATTGGCAAATACTTAGAAAACCACAGCTTACATAAACTGGCACAGACTGAAATAGAATACCTGAACAGATTCATTACAAAAGAAGAAATTGAACAGGTAATAAAAAACTTTCAAACCCCACCCCCCCAAAAAAATAAAGCCATGGTTTTACAAGTGAATTTTATCAAACTTTCAAAGAAGAACTGTCACCAATTCTACATAAAGTATTTCAGAAAATAGAAAAAGATGGAATTCTCCCAGACTCATTCTATGAAGCAAACATGTCCTTCATACCAAAGTCAGGTAAAGACGTCACCAAAATAGAAAACTATAGGCCAATATCGCTCATGAACATAAATGCAAAAAAAGTGAATATAATCCTGGCCAATATAATCCAACAGTACATAAAAAAATAATTCACCATGACCAAGTGGGATTCATAACAGGTATGCAAGGATGGTTCAACAACAAAAAAACCAAAACAAACAAACAAACACCCAATCCGTGTAATTCATCCCATTAACAAAGCAAAGAACAAGAACCACATGATCCTATCAATTGATGCAGAAAAGGATTTTGACAAAATCCAATATCCTTTTCCCCAACATAATAAAAAGTATGTATGCAAACCAGAGAGTCAACATCATTCTCAATGGAAAGAGATAAAAGGCATTCCCTTTGAGAACAAGAACTATGCAAGGATGCCCACAATCACCTCTTTTATTCAATATTGTTTTGGAAGTCTTAGCAATAACAATAAGACAAAAAGAGGAAATAAGAGGTGTCCAAATTGGCAAAGAGGAGGTAAAATTATCTTTATATGCAAATGATATGATAGTACCCTTAGGAAACCCTAAAGATTTGGTGAGAAAACTACTGGACATAGTCAACCAATTCAGCAAAATAGCAGGATACAAGATCAGCATACAAAAATCAACTGGATTTTTCTACAGCAACAAAGAAAATACAGAAATGGAGCTAAAAAAACAATACCCATCACAATAGTTAACCACAAGATTAGATATTTGGCAGTCGAACTAACCAGAAACACAAAAGATGTATTCAAAGAAAATTACAAAATATTACTACAAGAAACAAAAAGAGACCTGGATAAATGGAAGAATACACCATGCTCATGGATAGGAAGACTCAATGTTGTGAAGATGACAATTGTACCAAAGGCTGTCTACAAGTTCAATGCGATGCAATCCCAATACAAATACCAATTCCATTCTTCAATGAGAAGGGAAACACAATTTCCAATTTCATCTGGAATGGAAAGAGACCCCAAATAAACAAAACACTGCTGAAAAAGAGAAACAAGGTAGGAGGTATCTCACTCCCTGATCTCAAACCCTACTACACAGCCAAAGTGGCCAAGACAGCATGGTACTGATACAGTAGCAGACACATAGATCAATGGAATAGAATTGAGAACCCAGGAATCGGTTCATCTACCTATGGTCAATGGATTTTTGACAAGGAGATTAAATCAGTTAAGTGGTAAATGAAAGTCTCTTTTATAAATGGTGTTGGCAAAATTGGAAAACAATCTGCAGAAAACTCAAGCAAAACCCACAGTGTCAGACCACACAAAAACACCAAATCAAAGTGGATCAAGGACCTAGAAGTAAAACCAAGGACTATAAACTTCATCAGAGAAACTCTTGGAAGAACTCTAGAAGCCCTAATCCACAAAATAAAAAATCTTCCAAGTATTCTGAAAAATCTACAAGCAGGAGAGGATAAAATAGATTAATGGAACCTTCCAAGAATCAAATCCCTATGCACATCAAACAACTCCTCCAACAGGGTAAAAAAGGAACTCACAGATTGGGAAAAAATATTTGGAATACTTTGGGCATGTTGCAAGGAGGGACCATTCTTTAGAGAGGGACATGATGTTTGGGAGAGTGGAGGGACAGCGCAAGAGAGGAAGGCCCTCGATGAGGTGGATGGATTCAGTGAGTGGAGTAATGGGAGTGGATGTGTCAGAGACAGTGAGGTCGGCACAGGATAGAGCAGGGTTTAGGCTCTTGTACATAGGGTCGCTATGAGTCACAAGCACATAACAACAATGGCATATCTGATGTCAACAACTTCATTCTACTTGGCTCTACAATCAATACACTTGGTATCAACAGGATCAGGAGACCTATTGTACTGGGAAAGTCTGTAGTCAGGGACCTCTCCAAATTACTGTGGAGCAATGATGTCAGTTTGAGGACTAAGGTGTGCCTGATTCAGATTATGGTCTTTTTAGTCACTTGCTATGCATTTGACAGCTTGACAATGAATAAGGGTGACAGGGGAAAAAATATGATGTCTTTGTGTTGTGGTGTTGGAGAAGAGTACTGAAAATCCCATGGATGGAACAAACATATCTCTTACAGAAGGTGCACCCAGAGTGCTCCTTGGAGGCAAGGACAGTGAAGCTTTGTCTTTCATACTCTGGACATGTTCCCAGGAGAAGTTATTCCTTGGAGAGGGACATCATGCTTGGAAAGGTAGAGGGATGGCAAAGGAAAGGAAGATCCTCAACCAGGTGGATTGATACGGTGCCTCCAGCAATGTCAGAGATGATGAGGCTGACACAGGATAGGACAGGATTCAGATCTGCTGTTGTCAGAGTCACGATGACTCAACTGCACCTGACAACAACAACAGTGTAATCAAGGGCCCAGAGAGGAGGGGGCTGTTCTCACACACTCAGACTACATACGCTGACTGCAGAGCAGCCTGGACCTGCAGCCAAGCATGTCCTCACACCACATGTGCACTTTCCTTTGAGGCAGGATACACGCTCCACCAGTGGGCCTTATCTCATGGGCCTTATCTTAGCAGTTGAATACATGGGCCTTATCTTAGCAGTTGAATACATGGGCCTTATCTTAGCAGTTGGCTATGGGTTTGCTCCATGGTCTATAAAAGTCTACACAACTCCAGTGTTATATCCTGATTGTGTTCCAGGAACAAAATCTACATATATTTAAATGTGTCTGTGGAGATTGGCCTTCAAGGGACAGCACTCACCCATCCAAGACAGATATGAGCAGGGGTCGCACATCCTCGAACACGGCATCCTGCCCCTCGGCTGGGCTGTAGACCCTGGGACATCAGGGAGGGACACATGTGTCCACAGGAAGGGAGAACACGTTAGTGTCTGAACAGCATACGTACGCACATCCCACATCAATCCCCCATGAACTGAGGTGAGCACTTACTCACCAATCAGAGGTCAATTTGCGTTACTTTTCAGGACAACAGAGTGTTACAGAAGGATGAAGACATTGTTACTTCCTCTGTTATAAAATATTGTTATTGTTGTGAAAACGCAGTATGCATAAGCAAGCCTATAGCTGCTTGTAAAGTAAATCTGTGACTTCTCTCCAAGCTGCCAAGGAGACATCAGGTCTTCACCTGTACACGTGCACCTCCCTCAGATGCAGTCAAGAGGTCAGGTGAGGCAGCCTGCATTAAAAGCACTCCACAAACTCAAAGATAACACAAGAATGTGAGTTCTGTCCCTCAATATACCTGCATAAAAGCCCCAAAACTCAGACCACCTGTCCACACTGGCGAATTTCTGTCAGAGTTGAGAAACTGTGTGACTTAGCCTTGAAACAACACTCCATGGGAGATATTTGTTTTATAGCAATGCTATTTAGAACCTGTCTGGGTCCCGCCGTAAGTTCCACCATGTCTGATCCTAAGCCTCAGTCACGTCTGTTTGCCACACTGTGCTGGACACAAGAAGGTACTCATCAAGACTTTAAGACTTTAACCTGAGGGCTCAGTGACACCAAAGACTCAGTGTATTTCTTCACTGTAGACCACATGTAATCTGTCCACTGGATCAGTGTGTTACTTTCCAAGTCAAGACAGATGCGTAATAGCACAGTCAAAGTGCTTGGACCAGAGGGACTCGGCCAGTGAGTTGTTGTTAGGTGCCCTCAAGGCAACTACCACTTATCGCAACCCTGAGAACAGAAGTTCAGGACCTTGCTCCACCCTGAGCATCCTCTGGCCCCTACCATACTTGCATCTTCTGTTACAGTCACCATGTCAACCCATCTTGCTTTTGGATCTACCACCAGTTGAAGCTGGAGTCACTCAGCTATCCATTTATCTATCCTTCCATCCTCTCTTATGTATTCATTCATCTACCCACCATATCTATCCATCCATCAGTTTGTCTATCCATTCATCCATCCATACATCTACCCACTCCTCCATTCACCCACCTATCCATCCATCCACACATACACTTACGCATCCATCCATCCATCCATCCATCCATCCATCCACATATCTACCCACCCATCCATCCACACATACACTTACCCATCCACTTACCCATGCATCCATCCATCCACTCATCCATCCATCCATCTGTCCTTTCACCTTCTAGTATTCATCCATTCACCTCATCCATTCACCCAATAACTGATAAATCCAATCATCCAACCACACATTCACCTATTCATCCACCCATATATCTTTCCACCTTCCATGATCCACCCATTCATCTACTTATTCATCACTGATCCACCCATCCATCCCTTCATCTATTGATCCATCCATCCATCCATCCATCCATATACAATTTGATGTTCAACATCATTGCTTAGGATGCAAAGGTGAAGTACTATCCCAGATCCTTTGGGGTTTGTACTTTGAGAAAAGAGCAGGAAAAATAGGGTGAATACTGTGTAATGTGTTAAACATGATCACAAGAGATTAATGAAATAGTTCTGGACAGAGATGCTGGTGTGTAGACTCTGGGAGGAAGGCAGGGATGCTTGATGAAGAAAGGTATTCAGTGAACACACGTGTGCTCTCGTGTGGCACCGTGAGATTCATCAGGGCTGTCATGTGTGGCAGTCGCTTGTCCCATTTTACCACTGGCCAGTACTGAAGGGACACACCAGCGTATCAAACAACTTGTCAGCTGAAGGATATGTGACTGCTTGCAGTTGGGGACAATTATGAACCAAGCTCATCTTGCTTTGGACAATCTACTGCCTGGGCCATCTCCAAGATAGTGAAGAGCAATCCTGCCCGTTTTAGGACTGAGATGTGCTGCCTGATTCAGGCCATGGTCTATTCAGTCACTTGCTATGCGTCTGAGAGCTGGGCAGTGGATAAAGATGACGAAGGAGATTATACGCCTTGGAGGTGTAGTGTTGGTGAAGAGTACTGACTATCCCATGTACGCCCAAAAGAACAAACAGATAACGTCCTGGAAAAGGGGCGATCAGGGTGCTCCTTGCAGGCAAGGATGGTGAAGCTTCATCTCACATACTCTGGATGTGTTGCTAGGAGATACTACTCCTTGGAAAAAGATATCATGTTGGAAAGGTGGCGGGTCAATGCAAGGGAGGAAGACCACCAGAGAGGTGAACTGACATGGTAACCGCAGCAATGGGCTCAGGTGTAACAGAGATGGTGAGGGCGGCTCAGAGCAGGGACTGGGCTTGTTAAAGAAAGTGGCCATGAGGGACCCAAACCCTGTTGCTGATGCTGTCGTGTGCTGGCCAGTTGGAACCAGCTCAAAGCTGACCCTCCAGAGGGTTGGCTCTACGACTGACTGAACGTGTAGAATTAACCTCACACTTCACTAAGGGAAATTGTTCTTCTTTCATGTTGTTGGATTTGACACACTCATTGCAGAATATCAACTCTTTCAGTCTTCAGTGTGGATCACATCTCCACATCAAGAAAACAAAGACCGTCTCCACTGGACCAGTAGGAAACATCATGATAGATGGGGGACAGACTGAAACTGTCAATAATTTCATCTTACTGGGATCCACAGTAAACAATCTTGGCCCTAGCAATTGGGAAATGGAAAGATGTGTTGCTTTGGGGAAGTCAGGGCCTTCAAAGTGCTGCAGAACCAGACTGTCCATTTAAAGACAAGATGTGACAGATCCCACCATGGTCTTCTCAATCACGTGCTAAGCACCTGTGACTCGGACAGTGAATAAAGATGACAAAGGAAGATGAACGCCTTTGAGCCGTTGTGTTGGAGAAGAGCACTGACTACCCATGAGAACAAGCCAGGAGAACAAGCAAATGCGTCTTGGAGAGGGTGCAGCCCGGGCGTTCCTCGGAGAGAGGATAGTGAACTTCGTCTCACGTGCTTTGAACGTGTTGTCAGGAGGGGCTGGAGCTTGGAAAAAATGCCATGTCTGTAAAGGTAGGTGAAGGAGAGAACGGCCGAGTGAGATGGACTCACCCAGTGAGTACTGGCGGGCTCACGCGCGGCCGAGATGAGGAAGGCAGTACCGGGTCGGGCACGTTTCAGATCTGTCATTCGGAGAGCTGCTGCGTGTCAGTCAACTCGACAGAACTCAGCAAGAATAACAAGCTGCCTGTCACCCTGACAACACCCACCTCTCAAAAGTGTACGTCCTATGCACTGGAGGGTGGCCAGGGGGGCCACAGGTCACCACAACTGTTTCCTGAGGAAGGAGAAAACAAAGTGTGAGGTCCCACAGGCCTGACACTGATGGGGGCCAGCAGCGGGGACACGGGCCAAGTGCAGCCCGCCCCCAGCCTCTGTAAGTAGGTTTTCTGGGAATGTGGGAAGTCCGTTTCGCTGTGTACTGTCTGTGAGTGCTTTTAGGTGAACCACAGGAGAATTTCTGGTACTCTGAGCGTCGGTGACAAGCGCCGTGTGCATCAAGTGTCAGGAGAATACAGAAATCTGTCTTGGAGGCAGCGCAGTGACAACATTCCTTAGACGGAAGGATGCCTTCCTCTTTCACATTGCGGACATGCTACCAGGAGGGGCCAGAACCTGGAGAAGGCCGTCATGGCTGATAAAGCAGAGGTCAGAGTGAAAGAGAAAGACCCTCAGTGGCATTAGGACAGGGACTGCAACAACAGGCTGTGACCCGGCCACAACTGCAAGGCTGGAGCAGGACCCAGCAGGGTCTAGCCCTCCTGTGTCCAGCGTGACGGGGGTCAGGACCAGCTAAGGGCACTGAAAAACAGCACGGTGAAGGGGTGGTGGCCGCGCAGGCAGAGGCCCACCAGGGCAGCAGCACTTCCTGTCTGGTCTTGCTGGGTTAAGTGCAGAGCCACTAACACCCACCAGCTGCCCTCAGAGAGGAGGGTGGGCAGTGACCCCCACAAAGATGCGTGACCTTACGACCTTGATGGGATGGTCACTGTGGGTTCACACGTGTTCTGCAAGGGGCCCTGGGAGCACAGTAGGTTAGCACTGGGCTGTTAACTCTTAGGTTGATAGTTCAAGTCCCCCAGGTGTTCCAGGGGGGAGTAATGTCCAGACACGTGGTGAGGGTGGCCAGACCGAATCCACTGAGAGCTGCGACTGTTTACAGGAAAAGCCTGCAGACCTCCGGTGTTAAAAATAAAGTCAGTTGGATTTCAGAACTCATGACACAACTCGCCGGCCAGTAGTGTGCCTTTGTCATTTAGAAGCTTCCCCCTCTGTGTTTAGTGATGTTTGTCTTAAAGTCTATATTTTCTGGTAACACTAGGAGGGGGGAGTGATAAGAGAGATAAAGGGGACAGAGTGAGACAGGAGAGTGAGAGAAGAGAGAGGACGTAGAGTGAGAAACAGTGAACCGCAGAGAAAGACCGGGTAGGAGACAAATGGTGGATACCAAGAGAGAGAAAGCGGGGGAGGAGGTAAGGGGAGGCACTAGAGGCAAAGGGGAGGATGGAGCTGGGGAGCCCTGGGCCTAGGACAGACCCCAGGAGGCGGTGAGGGATGCAGAACACCACGTGGGGCCACGGTCACATCTTTGATTCATGGAGCCCTGGTGGGGCCCCCGTTTGTGCTGACCCAGGAGACGATGCCACAGCCCAGAGCCCTATCCAGGCACCACCAGCAGCCTCCCTCCTGCCACAAGAGAGACACCCCACTTGCAGCCTGATAGCGCCCTTCTAACCAGGCCCTCGCCCTCCATCTGGCAGCAGCGTCCTCTTCGATCCAAACCTCCAGGGAGTCCTGCTGGCTCACAGGACGAGGGCTGGGCTGTGAGCAGACAGGTCAGGGGTTTGACCCCACTAGCCGCTCTGGGGTAGTTTTTCTAAGTTAGGTCTCCCACTGAGATGCACAGGCCGGTCTGGAAAGTGGTGTGAGCCGGCGAACAGGAGGGCAGCAGGCAGCCTTCTCCAGCCACCCGGGCTCTAAGCCCAACGCCAACATGACAGCTTTCTGTGGGATGTGGAACCACAGGCCCCAGTAACGTCCACGAGCGAGCACCGGGTGGAGCTGGACAGGCAGGCACTGGAGGGTGGCACGGGCCCCGTGAGGACAGTGGGGCTGTCCATCTATGCCTGTTCTCTCGTTACATGGTTGTTATCAGTTCACACTGTTCACAAACCACCCATGGGTCTGGGCTACCCAGGACCTGACACTCTGATGCTCCTGCTTCCATGGACAAAATGTCATTGCAGGGCACTGTCCCCAGTGGTCAGACAGACTCTGGACACCAGGGGTGAGCATCACTAGACAGTGACACGCGTAGCATCGCTGCACGTGAGCTGTTGTTGTCGTGTGCAGTCGAGCCGGCACAGACCCACAGCTGACCGTCCAGCAGGTGTCCAGAGGCAGTAACTCACACGGGAGGAGACTGCTCAGCCTTCTCCTGCGGAGTGGCTGGGGGATTCAAACCATGTCCCTTTGGGATTGCAGCGCAGCTGCTTACCACTAGGCCACCAGCGCACTCTACAACTGTGCTGGAGCAATTATTAAACACAGGAGGCCAGGACCACAGTGTGTCATAAGGGGCACAAAGCCCAGATTCTACCCTTGACCTTCCTGAAAGACCCACACACCTGTCTCTGACCCCAGGGCTTTAGAACCACTCAGTTCTTCAGAACTGGCTCACACGAGAGGAGTTTTAGGCTCAGGTTTTACAGCTGGAAAGAATGTACCTCCAACATGCGTCAAAGGTTCAGTCCTTGGCTGAGAATCGGCACGCGGTGATGTTTGGACATGGCAGCTGCAACAGTGGCCGCAGACACAGCAAGGACGGGACACGACTGGGCAGGGTGTCCTCTTGCTGTCCAGGGGACACTGACCGGAGCCCACTTAACGGGGACTGAGCAGGTCCACACAGCGCTCACGCGTGTCAGAGACGGCGACAGGGGGCCAGTGTCCACACAGCCCTCATTCACCTGGGCAGCAGACAGTTATGGATGGGGGTGGTACTGACCCTGAACTGAGTGACCACAGGGACAGACACACATCTCCAGCCAAGGACACACTCCTCAGAGGCCTGACCAGTGGAGATATGAGGAATCTCGAGCGGGGTGAGAGGACACTCGGATGCTGTGTGGTTGTCAGTATCCTAGTTCAGCTGGAACTGGCCCCATAGTCACATCTGCAATCAAAACCGAGCAAGGAATGCAGCCGGGGCTCCAGCGGGCAGCGGGCACTAGTCCATACAGGGTGTCCTGGGCCAGGCCAGTGGCAGCTGGGCGGGAACAAGGCCCCATGTCCTCCTCCGACAGGGAAGTCAGGACCAGGGTGCTGGAGGCTGAATGGCCCGAGCTAGGTGGGCAGAGACCAGCAGATGGCATTTCACTCACTTTCCTTCTCCTCCACTGGACGCCACTGGACATTTCCTTAGCTGTGTGGCCTAGAAGAAGCAGCCGGCCAGGAGGCAGGAAGCTGGACCAGGGAGGGCCCCTGGGCAGCAGGGAGAAAAGGGAGTGGATGGGCCCTGAGGGCCCTGTGACAGGCCTGGGCGCTGCAGACAGGACCATGAGGGCCCAGTGGCCTGAGGCTCCTGACATCGGGTGGGGTTACCTGGGTCATGTTCCAGCCGGTGGCGTGGTCCCTGCCCTGTGAGTGTAACAAGTCTGTTGCCTGAGCCCAGGCCAGGGACCTGCTGGAAAAGTCAGATGGTGCTGGGACCTGTGACCGTGGCCTCTGGTGCCACCTTCTGTTCTCACAGGCGTCCAGCAGCTGGCAGCTGGCCTGGGAAGGTGTCCTGCCTGGGAGCTGGGGCTCCAGCCACAGAAGCCCCCACATATACACTCAGGTGGAACCAGGGAGCATGTGGGTTGGTGAGACATCAGCCTGTGGGTTCCAGAACATTCTCAGAGTCAGGCACAGAGTGTCCACGGTGGGGACCACGTGGTTACACTGTCAACATGGCCATTTGCCCTCATTACTGTTACTGTTGTTGTTGTTTGAGCTCTGTTGGAGGAGCCCCCAGAAAGTGGGGGTGCTAGTCTCTTCCTGCTCCTGTGGACGCAAAGGACGCTGGTGGTGCACTGTGTTACACGCTGGACAGCTAAACGAAAGGCCAGTGGCTCAACCCCACCAGCTGTGCTGAGGACAAGTCTCCTCTCACAGAGATTCGGACTCGTGACAGAGACTTACCCTGAGTGGGCTGCTCTTCCGGCTCCGGGCTTGGGGTCCGTTTTCATAGCAGGTACCTGAGGACTTGGGCCATTTCCACATGAACACCGGTTGGCTTGGCCATGTCCACCTCACTGTACAGCATTCACCACCACTGGTCCCCAGATTCCCTCCTGATCGCACCACATGTGCAGTGGGTCCCTCCACCATCTGATGACCACAGTCACAGCTCTCTGCACTGGCCGTGCTGGACATTGCTGGGACACAGGCTCACACAAGTCACAGGTCAAGGATGATCCAAAAATCTAATGCCAGCGAGACCTTTGTCTCAGGTGAGCCAGGACTCGCCGCGCTTTCTCCTTTTCCTGGCTTTGAAATGGCCTTCATCCTTTGTAACTCTATCCATTCTTGTAAGCATCAATGTTTCCACAATTCTGAGGAAGATGAATGTCACTTTAAAGACCAGGTCATGCCTGACTCAGCCACGGCATTATATGCTTTTGAAAATTGTATAAAGGACCAGGAAAACCAAAGACGTATTGACGCCTGTGACATGTGGTGTTGGTGAAGAGGACTAAGTATCCCAAGAACTGTGAAATGAATGAACAAATCCATTTTAAAGAAGCGTAACCAACATGTGCCTTCTAGTCAGGGAGGGTGAAACTGTCTCACGGGCTTTGGGCTTGTTGCCAGGAAGGGCCAGTTCTTGTAGACAGACAGACAGACCAACAAGACGATCGCAGCAGAGAGAGAACGTGAGAAAGTGAGGGCCCAACAGTGAGCACAGCAGAGAGCACGGGCACAACTGTTCAGGAGTGGGCCAGCAGGCCTTTCTTCCGAGGCCCCTCTGGGTGGACTTGACCCTCTGGCCTTCCTGCTAATGGTCTGTACCAGTCAGGACTCCACACACATGCACACACACATCCATTCTGAACTCATCACGACCAACTCCGTTCCACCCCACAGCAACCTTGTCAGAGAGTGGACCCTCCCCGTGGCGGTCCAGTGCCAGGGTCTTTACGGCAGCCACCTGCTACAGCTCCCTCCCACACAGTGTCCGGTGGGTCTGAACTGCCGACTCCTGGGATTATATGTGGGTGAGGCCCAAATCACAAGTTGCCCAGTTTATGACCAAGACAGCCTCGCCCACCGCTGTTGATGGGCTGTGCCTCAGGGTCCCCCCACCACGCTTCCCAGGCTGTGAACGGTACAGCCCAGTTATCACTTCGCATTCCCGGGGCCCAGCCCCCCTCACTGTGGAGATCTCTTGTTTGTTGGGGAGGCACTCACGTCGTCGGCCGCGCGCACAGCCATCTCTGAGGAGCAGCTGTGGAGACAACAGGAGCTCAGGTCAGGACGCCTCCTGGGGACCAGGTGCCCCTCCTCACTGACACTGCGTGTGACCCCCTTGTCCTCCCCAGAACCCTCCACGGAGCTCCTGCTTCTCCTCTGCACACCTCACCCTCCCTTCTCTGACCACGTGCACGTTCTTCCACCCTTGTCCAGAGAGCAACCCGTCCTGTCTCCTGCCCGTCTCCATCTCAAATACTCTTTTCTTTATTTTCTCATTTCCAAGTTATCTTCTCAAGATCTAGCAGGGACTGAACAGCCCATGGATGGCCAAAAGAACCAACAGACATGTCTTGGAGAGGGTGCAGCCGGAGTGCTCTGTGGAGGGAAGGGAGATGAGGCTTCACCTCACACACTTTGGGTAGGTTGCTAGGAGAGGGTATGCCTTGGAGAGGGACATGATGCTGAGAAGGGTGGAGGGTCGGCAAAGGAGAGGAAGACCCTCAACCAGGTGGACTGACACAGTGACGGCTGCAATGGGCTCTGGTGTGTCAGGAAGTGTGAGGACGGTGCCGGACAGAACAGGGCTCTTATCTTTTGCCTGTAGGGTCACTATGAGTCATACTTGATGGCACCTAACAACAATGAACAGGAATGAAACACAATGTATATGAATAAGCATATGCATGCCAATAAAAAATTAATAAACAACTGGGGGGGGGGTAAACAAATCTGTCTTGGAGCAAACGCAGCCAGGTGTTCAGTGGAGACAAGAACGGAGAAGTGTGCTGTCGCCACTTTGAGCCTTTCAGGAGGGCCCAGCCCAGGAAAAGACATTATGCTGAGAAAAATGGAAGGTCAGCGAAAAAGAGGAAGACCCTCAGAAGATGGACTGTCATCGTGACTGTGACAATGACCTTGAACATGACGGAGACTGTGAGGCTGGCACAGCACAGGGCAAGGCTCAACTCTGGCTCCCAGGGTCATCAGGGGTCAGACTCAGAAAGCGCCACCCTCAATAGCAAGGCCTTTCCTGTCCTCCCCTGGGCTTCCCCCCTTTCCTGTCCTCCCCTGGGCTTCCCCCCTTTCCTGTCCTCCCCTGGGCTTCCCCCCTTTCCT